TTCACTTTCTCATTACTTTTGAGAGTTGTGTCTTGAGTCTTGTTTGCAAGCTAACATATGAGCATGTTTTTCTATCCTTTCATGCCTTAATCTCAGCATGTTTTAGCCACTATTTTGGCATATATTAACTTTGTCCAAGCTGGTTTGGTCAGTTGAGCTTTGTATTACATGTCTATAGTGTTGTAATCTTCACTAGCTTAGTGAGTTATACTTTTTAGCATGTGTTGCATGTGTTGCTTGCATGATTTAGTTTCATTTTGCATGTCTTTTTAGTACTGAAATATCTGCAACCTCTCTCATTTCTTTACTTTTCCATTTTCTTTGACGTTGGTTAGCCTTAAGGTTGTGTTTAAGCTTGAGATTGAGACTTGTGCTTAATGGTTTTAATCCTCTTTTGAGGGTTTCTACTAACCAATGGCATGATCTCTCTCATGTCTTAAGTCATCCTTTGGTTGACCCCTCTCTCATTAAAGAACACTCACCTTGGACTTAATCGATTAAAGGACTAATCGGTAATGTAAAATGTGTAAACAAAATGAACAAAGTAAAAGAGGCAAGATAAGCATGTTGTGTTGCACTGCATGCGTTTGGATCGGACATTAATCCAAACACAAGAAAAATGGGACGTTTCATACTCAAAGTGATGAAACGTGTCATTTTTCTTGGTCACCGTCACCCTTGATCGTGCATGATAGGGTGGTGGTTGTTTTGGTCTTGTTTGTACATTCAGTGACCTTGTACAAACTTGGTTCTTTGGTCATCATGCATGAAAATGCTTGGTTGATGGATTGAGAGCCAAGAGCTATACTCTTTTGAGCTTGAAAGATGAAAATGAGGGTAGCAATACATACATTTCTTGGAAATTCATTGCTTTGCCTCTGTTGCTCTCTATTGCAGCAAAAGCAGAAGTCTAGAAAAGGGGGTAGCCGACCGGCCAGTTGAGGTAGCCAACAACCACTTTTTGTGGCCGACCGGCCACCAGACCACTTTTGGCGACTAAACTTCTTTTTAGTTGCCAATTCTATACTTTTGGCTACTAAATTTTTTTTAGTCGTTAAAAAATTTAATTCCCACGATAAAATTACCACTTTTGGCGACTAAACTTCTTTTTAGTCGCCAAAAAGCCTCACTTTTGGCTACTAAATTAGTTTTAATCGCCAAAAAGCCTCACTTTTGGCTACTAAAATTTTTTTAGTCGGTAAAAGTCTCACTTTTGGCTACCAAACATCTTTTTAGTCGCTCAATGCCTCACGTTTGGCTACTAAATTTTTTTTAGTCGTTAAAAGCCTTACTTTTGGCTACTAAAATTTTTTTAGTCGATAAAACTCTTATATCGGCGACCAAACATATTGTTAGTCGCCAAAACCTATACTTTTGGTTACTAAAGTTTTTTAGTCGCAAAAAATCTTTACTTTTGGCTACTAATGCTTTTTTAGTCGCCAAAACCTATACTTTCGGCGACCAAAGGTGATTTTTTAGTCGCCAAAGATGCTTTTTCTTGTAGTGATATTTTGTATTTTTTGTGTGGAAAATATAAGTTTTAATTTTGTCATTTTTAAAAAAAATCAAATTAAATAGCTTTTAAATAAAAAAAAGTAATGAAATAGTTTTGATAATATATGGTTTTCTTATATGTATTTATTATTGATATTTGACAATTTACTTGATAATCTTTTAGTTATATTGAATTGAATTGTTATTAAAAAAAAAAAATTGACAAATTGTTATATTATGTTCAAAATTTGTAAAAGTTTAAACCGCTAAACCATTCGCATTCATCCGCTCAATCTGCATCCGTCAATCTAATGGATAGATACGGATTGTTTTTTTCCAATCTGCCAATCCCGCAGACGGATGGCGGATTGGAGGTTTCCCGACCGCAACCGAACCGCGAACACCCCTATTTATACCAATTAGTTGGATTGAGTTTGAGTACTTTTCAGAGAGTTTTCTTTTGATGGAAGTGAGGTTGACTGGGGTGGAACATAGGTAGATCTTGAAGTTTCTTGTTGAGAGTTTTTTGGCTAGCTCTAAGTAGGGTGAGATGTGGCCATGTGCTAGCCATAGGAACATAAAAATTGAGATGGTGCTTTGTTTTGCTTCCATGATCAACCTCTCTCTCTCTCTCTCTCTCTCTCTCTCTCTCTCTCTCTCAGGCTCTTACTGCAACTTTGTGTTGTGATATCCCTTGTATATATAGAGAGGAATGACCCGTGAGATGCATAATAGAGAAGATAAATTCAAGTCACAGATATGAGATCTTCTGTTCTCAAATTCTTTGATTTTCAAATCTTTGTATTTTCTTGTCTTTGAACACTGAAAACTCTTCAATTATGTTTGTAGATTTTCATATATTGAGATTCCTACATTATTTAAAGGTTGTAGCTATTTTGGGACAAAAAGACAAGCAATTTTTTTGAAACTTTTTACGTTTAAGGAACAATAATCAAGTAACCATGGAAAAGATCAACAAGACAATAAATGGTAATTAAAATTGGCTTAATTTGTTGAGTTTGATTTCTGTTTTTTCATTGATAGTCACTACAAGAAAAAGCCTTTGTAGCGATTAAAAAAGCACCTTTGGTTGCTGAAAGTATAGGTTTTGGCGACTAAAAAAGTATTAGTAGCCAAAAGTAAAGATTTTTGGCGACTAAAAAAATTTAGTAGCCAAAAGTATAGGTTTTGGCGACAAAATCTGTTTAGTGGCCGATATAAGGCTTTTACCGACCAAAAAAAATTTAGTAGCCAAAAGTAAGGCTTTTTGGCTACTAAAAAAAATTTAGTAGCCAAAAATGAGGCATTGGGCAACTAAAAAGATGTTTGGTCACCAAAAGTGAGGCTTTTACCGACTGAAAAAATTTTGGTAACCAAAAGTAAGGCTTTTTGGCGATTAAAAATAATTTAGTAGGGCTATGAAGTATTAGCGACAGCACTGTGTACCGTCGCAAAAAATATTTTTTTTGAGACGGGTGAAATTTACCGTCGCAAATAGTGGACATTTCTGACGGAAATGCTCTGTCGCAAAAAAAAAGCCCTTAATAAAACGACGTCGTTTTATAAATGGATTTGATCATTTGTGACGGTTTTGCCACGCCGTCGCAAATAGTCTAAAATTTCATCTCCCTCCTTCAGCCGAAATGGCGCTCGATCAAATTCCCTAAAATCCCCAAAATCCCTAACACCATTCTCCCTCAAAACCCCCCAAATCCCTAAATCCCCAAAATCCCTAAATCCCCAGAGATGAGTTCGATGAAGATCTCTCTTCGTCTCTCGACGAGCAATGACGGTGACGGCTAGCGGTGTTCGAGTTCACCGACGATCACAGCGACGACGGCGAGTGTTCACCAACGATATCTCTCTCGTTGAGCGACGACGGTTAGCGGTGGTGCGGCGACGGTGTATTACGATCTCTCTCTCTCTGAGCTCAATCAGTACGTATGCTCTCTCTCTCTTTCGGAAGCCCACAGTAATTTATTTTGGTCACTCATCTTGTATAGAGATCAAGTGCGTTTCTCTCATTGCTATGATTCAAAACTGTAATATCTGATTACTCCATTTTTTGTTCTATATAAGTAATATCTGATTTTGATGTCTACTCTTTTTTTGGTCACTATGTTTAGCCGTGTGGGGTTCTTATTGGAGTCAATGATGTTGAAGTTGGTGGTTGGGAATTTTTTTTTTTTTCAATAATGCCTCATCTGGAGACATTTGGAGGCAAGGATGAGCTAGGGAATATTTGGGTTAGGATTTGTATGATTATCTCACACTGATGTTGGTGAACTGTTGGATTTAGAGACTGGAAAGTAAGAGATATGCCATTAGAAAAATGGAGTGGACAATTGATTTTAGATAATATATTTTGTTATTTTAATGATACTTTGGTGGTCAATGGATCATATGTATGCAAGCAAAATGATCAATGATCTTAATTCTGTGAGATTAGTGATGTCGAAATTCCATTAGGCACTCAGTTATATGTTTTGCAATAAAGGCAACTTATGGGCAGATGCTTCACTGATTGCAAATATTTGTGTATGTGTTTATAGTTTATATGGATAACTCTGCCCCTGCACTTGTTTCAAACTGTTACATCCAGGATTAAGCTGACTTGGGCTTTTAATCGTATTGGCATATCTTGTGGGATTCTTATAATCGTATAGTTGAATAGGATAATGCTGCTCTCCATCTGCTATATGGTAAAATGGTTCATCTACACTTCGACTAGCACTATCAGAGTGAAACCTAAAAACTTGGCAATATGTAGATATTTAATCTTTTTAGCATTTTTCAGTTTGGTACTGATCTTTCCACTTTGGTAATTGCTAATCTCTAGTGTAGCTAACTAGTTGAGTCAAGCTTCTGGTGTATATGTAGCTTCAGTTGATATGAAACTTATTTTCATTTTATATCAAAGTTGTTCAATTATAATGCATTAAGTTGTGTGCGCTTGAGTGTGTGACACCAAGAAAAAATTGCCAGCATTCCTATTAAATAATAAATGTTTCAATTAGGATCTCAAAAACAATAAATGTTGGAAATATGCTGTGGATTATTTTGATAACCTTGAGTGTCCTCCACTGCAATTAATATACATTGATGTCCTATAGTCGCCTCATCTTTGATTAATGTTGTGGTCTTCAAATTTTCATAGTAAGTTTGTGAAATGAATGATACATTTCAGTTAATATATGGAAATATATTTCTGTGATTCTAATATCTGAAGTTATTGATGTGACACGGTTGCAACTTAGTTGTACAAAGAGATAACAAAAGATTCCTTTTCCTTGATATACTTACATTGGAATGTCCAGGTGAGCCTCAGGTAAAAATGGTTCCTTCTAAACCTTAACCCACTTTTTTTTATCTGTCCAAACTCTGGTAGACTTAATTACGTGATTACTTGACTATTTGGAAAATTAACTCACGTGAAGAATCAGTGGGCATTACAAAGTAACCATCTTAGCTCAAGATGTGTATTTCAAACAATGTTTCAGGCTCCAACACCACAGTGTCTACCTTTGTGTTTTTCTGTTAGACAATTAGCAAATTCTGCTTTGTGTTTTCAGCTATGGATTGTTAGGAAAAATAGAGGCATCCAATTTCATATAGTTTATATGAGAAATCAAGGATGTTGAAGGTACTTTACATAAAATTTTACCTACACATCTGATGAATGCCATTTCTATTTGTGTTAGACAATGTAGTAGTAACTTCCCGTCCCTTAGCTAAAACTATAATTCGTTGTTTGATTGTAGGACTACATACAAGGCATCAGAGCAGCTTATACTAAAGATTTTTCCAGTAAGGATATCACAAGGCGGCAAATAGCAGTTGCCACCTATCTTATTGATAAACTAGCTCTCTGGGCAGGCAATGAGAAGGTATGGTATATATAACTGTTTTCATCATGTTTATGTTTATCTTTTACTCTCTTGTTCGTGGAACATCCTCTTTCTTTTTCCTCCCAATGTAGAAGCATAGTTGAGAATCTGACAACAGGTAATTGGTTAAGACTCTGTTGGATGGGGTGGACAACCTTCTCTGTGGAGGAAACATAGTGATGCGGATCATCTTACAGATGCTAATAGTGTTTTATTTACTTTATATAGATTCATGCTTTAATGTATAAACACATGTATTATGTATATATGATGAGTCCACTGCGATCTTGCTCAGAAAGTAAATAGAAACATAACAAAAAAAATGAAACAAGTTTTGGAGCCTTTATTCATATAATTGTTTCGATCTTGCAGGATGGTGATGAAGCTGATACCGTTTGTTGCTGCACATTGAAAGTAGAAAATGTAGAACCAATGCCTCCAAATATTCTGAAGGTATAATGGCGTTTATGTCTCAGATAACAAGGTTTTAAACCTTAACTTACAATTGGATTTGGTTATAATAATATTTGTGAGTTTGGTGGGTTATTATATTGAGATTTTGAAGTTTAAATGACTAAAAAGGGGACTGCATGATATGAAACTGGAATCAGTTTCTGGAATATTTTGAACCTATTAGAAATATGTAACAATACAAAGGTTTTTCGTCGACTGCAATTAATAACAAATCAATATCTTTTCTGGTTTTTTAGTTTGACTTCCTTGGTAAAGATTCAATTAGATACCAAAATGAGGTTGAAGTTGAACTTCCTGTGTTAAAGGCAATTCAGCAGTTCTAAACTGGTTAGTGGATGCGTGGCCTTTTGTATCAAAATATCTCTTTCTGCATTTCATGATAAAGACATGCTCACATGACCTTATTTTTCTACAGGAAAAAGTGGCGGCGATGATCTTTTTGACAAGCTGGATACCAATAAACTGAATGCTCATCTGAAGGAACTCATGCCTGGTCTCACAGAAAAGGTTTTCCGTACATATAATGCATCTATAACTTTGGATGAGATGGTAAGAGGCAAGCTGGGATTTTTCACACCTTGAAGTTAGTATTTTTCCTGTGAATATGAATTTACTATGTTAACCAAACTTTTGGTACACATGGGAGTGTTTGTGTTGGTGATTGGATTGTCTGACCATCAACTTTTGGTACACATGGGAATATGGGACCCGGCCAAATAGTTGTACTGGTGCTTATTTGAAAGGTGGTACTAGGGTGAAGTAATAAAAAATCAATAAATATGGGCTATCTAACAAAACATATTGGAAATAAGATTTTGAAATATAACAAATAGTTGTTGTCATTTGACATTATTGAAAGTAGAAATGGTTTTTAACAAATAATTGCTGTCATTTGACAGTAATGAACTTGATATGCATTGGCAAGATAACTCAACTCAACTTACGAAACTTTAATCCCAATTATTTGACCTGCAGTAGGACACGGTGGTAATATGACGTCATGGTTAAACCAATTTACATTTTTGTTGATTATATTTCATGATGATAAAGGCTATATATGGTTTGTAGATATAGTAGTTTGAAACATGGAGTAGTCTATGCAATGAATAACATAACTTAAGCAGTTGTAGTGAGCACGTGATTTATTATTTTTTATTTATTTATAAAAAACCATGTTTATCTTTGCGATTTAAAAAGATAATGTTTTATCTTTGCGATTTAAAAAAATTTTAGCATTTGTTTTTCTGTTGGCATTAGCAAGAAAGGGTATTAATTCAAACATTTTTTTGTTTGAATTAATACCAAACAAACACACCACCACCAGAAGATCAGGTATAAAATGTATCTTTACATTCTAAGCTAAAATGTATCTTTGCATTCTTTGCATTTTAAGCTAAGAGACTTGTGGGAGAAGACAGGACTCAAATCGGGTTCCCGGATTGGGAGTTAGAGTTGGATTTCACTTTAGGCAAACTAATTCCTTAAAAAACTTGAATTCGAGGTGTTGACGCCCCAAAATCACCAAACGGGGTCGGATTGGCACGAAACTTGGCACACACGACCGTCTAGGCACAAGAGACTTGTGGGAGAAGACGTGGCTCAAATCGACTGGACAAAAAGCCTTGAGACTAAAGAAATGTGGAAAAGGTTGAATACCAAGCCCTTGGGGCTTGTTTCAGGCCATAAAGAGATTTGTGAAGCTTACAAACAAGATGAGGAGAAGAGGCATCAATGAAGCCTTGAGGCTAGTACATATAGACTTCCTCCTCAAGAACACCATGGAGAAAAGCATTTAAGATATCAAGTTGCTTAATGGGCCATTGGAAATTAAAAGCTAAGGTTAAAATAACTCTAACAGTTGGCTGTTTGGCCACAGGACTAAATGTCTCATGAAAATCAATGCCCTCAGTTTGAAGAAAACCCTTAGCAACCAAACGAGCCTTACATCTAACAATAGTGCCATCTGAATTCTTCTTGATTTTGTCCACCCATTTGGAACCAATAATAGATTTACCAGGAGGTAATGGCACAAGAGACCAGGTAGCCTGTCTTTGTAAGGCTTGAAACTCATCCAGCATGGCAGCTTGCCATTGTGGAGAAGGAGCTGCTTCTGTGTAAGAAGATGGTTCAAAATCAATGGATGCTAAGAAACAAGTGGAGACTGGCTTGGTCTTTGATCTAGTAAGCATAGGATGATTATTTTGTGAAGATAAACTGAGAGGCAAATTTATAGAAATAGAGGAAATAGGGATAGGAGAAGAAGAAACTGGAAAAGTGGAGACAGGTGCTGTAGAAAGAAAAGGAACAGGTGCTACAACAGAGACAGATATAGGAACTGCAAAAGGAGGTGCTGTAGGTACTGCAGAAGTAACAGTTGTAGGGACTGCAAAAGTGGCAGTTGTAGGTATTGCGAAGGTAGGGACTGTAGTAGGTACTGCAGAAGTTGCAGTTGTAGGACTAGTTGGAGGCCAGAAGAAAGTGTGAATTTGAAGTAAAGTAGGAATGGAAACATTAGCATAGAGAGAAAAGTCCTGAAACGGAAAAGTGGTTTCATCAAATAGAACATGCCTAGAAACATAAAGTCAATCACTGGACACATCAAGACATCTATAGCCCTTTGTAGCAGGCTGATAGCCAAGAAAAACACAAGAAATTGATCTTTGTTGAAGTTTATGAGTGGTATAGTGTCGAAGCTAAGGGTAGCACCTATAGCCAAAAACCTTCAAAAAATTATAATTAGGAGATTGTTTAAACAATACTTCAAAAGGAGTGAGATTGTCAAGCTTGGATGTAGGATGTCGGTTAATGAGAAAGACAGGAGTGGCAAGAGCATCAAACCAAAATTGGATGGGAAGAGATGGCTGATACATGAGAGTGATAGTGGTTTTAATCAAGTGCCTATGCTTCCTCTCAGCTACTCGATTTTAAACAGGGGTATGCGGACAAGTGAGCTAATGTTCAATACCCTTAGTTGTAAGAAAATTCTGAAATTTAGAAGCCAAATATTCTCCCCCATTATCACTTCTCAAAATTTTAAGTTTGGTGTGAAACTGTGTTTCCACAAAAGACTTAAAGTCAACAAACATGGAGAAAACTTCACCCTGTATGACAGAGGAAATAACCATGTAAATTTGCTAAAGTCATCAATGAAAAGAACATAGTATTTATAGTTTGATACTAAAGCAGCAAATGGTCCTCATACATCAGAATGGATAAGAGCTAAAGGTTGATTTATAGATGAATTTGAAAGACTAAATGGCAACCTATGACTCTTAGACACACAACAATGTGTGCACAATTTATTTAAGGTAACAACAGTAGCCATAGTAGGTAAATGATGCTGAGAAACAAGAAAATGCAACTTCTTGGATGAAGGATGTCCAAATCTAGAATGCCAAAGAGAATCATGATGAGCAGAATCTTCAGTGGAACAATGAAGACAAACAGGTGGAGAAGACAATGAAGAAGTTGAAGCTGGAAGAGAAGATGAAGCTGAAGCTGGTAGATGGTAAAGACCATGAGAAAAACCTCCTTTATACAGAACCTTCTTGGTAAGTTTGTCCTGTATAACAAAGAAGTCAACATCAAAAGTAATGGTGCATTTGTTATCAACAATGAATTGGTCTTTGTCATACCAGAGAACTCAAATCCATGTTGGAGACCAAGCCTCTATCTATATATTTTCAACATTGAGAGGAAAGGCCCAGTCTCTCTCCACTTTCATGTTGATCACCAACAGAAGTATATTTTTGTGCTGTGTCCTTTAGCATAAATTATCAAATCA